AGCATATGCCGTTATCAGAATTGAGTCTGTGTTATTCCAATTCTGTACCCAATGCTATGAATCTAAAACAAGTTAAGTGTATTAGTGTGGATGTGCACTTAAATTAAAGTTTCAATTAAGTATAAAAGACTGGATTAAGAGCCATGTGAATCTCTTATTTTCTATCAAATCCCTCAAACCTCATAATACTCCCGTGAGTACCCCTGTTACCTGTTGATAAGGCCGGTATCATCTTCACTTTACGGATGAGGACACTGTGTGGGTATGTAGCTCACTCAGAGTCTTAGCTGAGGGCAGTGGCCAAGTCACGACCAGACACAGCACTTTCAGAAGCAAAAGGAAATTTATGTGCCAGGCACTGCGCTTAGAATTTTCACATAATTTCTACTTAATGCCTATAACAACCCTAGAATGTAGGTGTTTCTCCTACTTTTAGAGATGAGAAAACTGAGCCTCAGTGATGGAATATGACCAAGTTCAAGAGCAGTAAAGTGGCTGAGTTGGAACTTGAACCTGGTTTTCAAAGCCACACACCCATTCTACACATTTATGCAAGCCATCTACATTTTTCAGCTGTATTCCAACATTGGCGCAGTGCCTGTCACACTGTGGGTACTCTTTTGTGGCCACTTTTGTGGAATGACTAAGTGATAAACTGAATGTGTACATTAGTGGCTAGCAAGGAGGGCAAAAAGAACGCAGTAAGTATTTAGTGAAGGAAATTGCTCCAATGAGAAAGGTAGAGGGCCAGGCCATGGGAGTGAACCATTACCAAATGAAAGCTTCTTTGGCAAAAGGAAGTAGGGAAAGTATCACTGAAAACCCTTATGCATCCTTTCCCAGAGTCCATAAGCACGGCATTGTATGAGGTGCTGCTCTGGGCCCCCAGCTGCCTTGATTATGGAATCACTCTGACTTTGCTCTTACCCCAAACATCCTTCTACAAAACACCCTTGCCCTTTGTCTGACCCTTTGGCAAAGCAGTCTCTCCAATTAATATCTAGGTTAGAGCCCAAATGCAAAATACCTTTCCTTATTTATTAATGATGCCATTTGTCATAGATGATCATCTGCTAATGAATAACATGGGTTTTGATTGAGCTGGATTCTCAGTTATGGAGCAAATATTGATTAAATAGCTATTATGCACAAGAGAGGACATTATTAACTTTCTGTTAGATGGCAGAGAAAACCTGTTGTCGTGTGAAGCTCCCAGACTCAAAGTTCGAAAGCTGGGTTCCAGTTTTCCCTCCACCACCAATTACTGTAGGATCTGGGCTACTGAACGTCTTACTCTGGATGTCTGTAGATTTAAGATGTTCACTGGATCTTAGTCTATGGCCTAACTGTGTCCTTAGGGGATATTTGGGAATGTGTGGGAGTGCCTGGGGTCATCAAAATAGTTGAGAGGATGCTACTGGCACTTAGTGCTCAGAGACGAGGGATGATAAATGCCATGCCACGTGGGGGTCAGTCCTTCACCACAAGGACACATATTCTGACCAAGATTGTAACCATCTTTCCACTGAGAAATGCTGACTGAAATCCTCCCCAGTTTTAGTGTTCTCTAATTCTAAGACAGTAACTGAGAGGCAAATTACAGTTCTGTTAACTTTGACAAAGTCAACAAGAGATGATGTTAAATATAGGCAAGCTACTGGCAAAATGCCTTCCAAGAAGCAGAAAACAAAAAAAATGGGAATACTAAATACTAGTGCTCTTTGCAATGCATGCTGGAGAGGAAGTTACTAAAATGCCATTCATTATAGTAGCACATTTTCTATTAATTATCTTAGTAATTTGTAAAGCAATAGCTTGAATGCCACATGGAACGTTAATTCTGCTAATGAATTCAGTGACTGTATTTTCCCTAGCTTCTCACCATAATCTTAGCTCCATGCCACTTTGGTTCACAGGGAAGGGCCCTAAGACTTGGTAAACTTGCCTTTATAGCACTGAATTTCTTTTATGACAGTAACGGAAGAGCTAAATGCTCCAGACTTGTTGTTGCCTAATTATTTCATTTTGCCATTAAAGCTAATTGTCAATAAGGATAATGAAAATGACTCCCAGACATGTTAGTAATTTGAATCATCATAAGCCTCTTGGTAGCACGATGCTGGCTGGCGGTGCCATCCCAGCCCAGCTCTATTGCTGTTCAGAATGCATCCCCTCTGGAAAGGCCCATTTGTAGCACTCTGTGCCTTATGAGATTATAGGGTTCCAAAGCTTTTACAGACAATAAAATCTATTTTTAAAATATAGGCATACACAAAAATGTTATTATTGACCAAATCAAAGTTTTGAAATCTTTCCCCTATTCCACTCAGTTCAAGAATAGGTAAAGCAACCGGCTCGTCCCACATTTGGGAGTGAGGCTAGGAGCACAGGTGAGGGTTTCTACCCCCTTGCCCCCCTTTTTAAGGCTACCTGGCCTCATTCCTCATTTTCTCTAGACTTCAGTATCCATTAGCATCACCACATAATGTTTGATCCATGCGTGGCCGACTTCGTTACCACAACCAAACCTAGATGTTGTTTGGAGCAGCCATGAGTCCAGCCTCAGGTGATGGATTATGACTGATCATGATCAATCATGACAAGCCTGTCCCCCAATTTCCCAGCCTTTTTTGTGGAGAAGAGTTGCCATGTTAACTAGTTCTGACCAATGAGATCTTGAGACCCAAGGGGAATTCTTTTGTAGAGATTTTTAGGAAAGCTTCTCTTAATCTGAAAAAATAAACAAAAGGAGGGGACAGATGATGCTTTGCCTTTCCGCTTGAGTGTGGACATGATGCCTGGAGACGCAGCAACCATCTTGTGACAAGTAGTAGAGCAGAACAATCTAAATAGCTTGGTTTCTTAATGGCATCTTTCAGTGCCATGTCTAGACTAGCCTGCCTAACTCAGGACTTCTTGGAATGTGGAAAAAAAGTCAATCTGTATTTGCTTAAGTCATTGTAGTAACATTTCTGTTATTTATAGTCAAATATAAACCTGACTGATATATTATGTTTTATGCTAAATTGAAGACATAACTTTGGGGGCCTTGGAAATTTTGGCATGAGAATATTGCTGGCAGCAGTATAGTGTAGTAACCCAAAGCAAACTTTTAAAGCTATTGTATGTGAAACATTCTTTACTTCTCCAGCTAGTGGAGATTTGGGTGCACCAAGCATATTTGGATAAGGTAGGTGCGATTAGTGGACATTTGGTCCTGTCTAAAACATCCATAAGACATTTGGTCCATAGGACATTTTGTCCACACCAAAAGGTTCTGGAAATTTGGTCCTGTCCAAAATGTCCATAAGACATTTTGTCAACACCAAAAAGCCCTTGATATTTGGTCATATTTTGTCCTCTCCAAAACGTCCATGGAGACATTTGATCCAAGCCAAAACGTCCCTGATATTTGCAGGACCAATTGGTGTTGTCCAAAACATCCATAAGACATTTGGTCTTTGCTGAAAGGTCCTTGATATTTGTTATGTTTGGTCCTGTCCAGAATGTCCATGGAGACATTGGGTCCACGCCAAAAGGTCCTTGATATTTGGTCCTGTTCAAAACCATTTGTCCTGGACCAAATATACTCGTGGACATTTTGGACAGAACCAAATTCCAAGGACCTTTTGATGTGGACCAAATGTCTTATGGATCAGATGTCTTGTGGACATTTTGGACAGGATCAAATGTCCTGCAAGGGTAGGTGCTGCCGTTGTGCCAGATGTGTTTCAAGAAGCCAAAATGTCATATGATAACAATGTAAAAACATCAGGAGTAGCCTGTACATCTCGAAGGTATCACTTCCATAAGAAAGTGATACAACTGGGAGAAGAAAAGAAAACAAATGTTTGCTGAGTTGGATTGCGTTGAACATATGGGAATACAGTTGTGAGTTGAGTTGTATATCTGTCATACTATTCAAGTGATTGAAGAGTGTTATAGTGGTGCTTCCCAATGGAAATAATTTACATTTATATTACTGGGTTTTAAAGTATACTGGAAAAAACAATGGACCTTAGTCAACATTTCTGAATTCTATTTGTACTTCACAATTTTACCCAGTCTCCCTGAGTGCCAATTTCTCAACTATAAAATGGGGGTAATAACTCATATCTTGTCTACACAGAATTTCTGTAGAAATGAAGATGAAATGTATAAAATTCCATCTTATACCATATTTGCTATGCATATGTGAGATGCCATCAACATTATTATAACCATATCACCCCAAATTTTACAAAACTGATGTGATCATTATTGTCATTCTATTGATTTGACTTTGAAGACAAATCTTTGGTTTATTTCCATTTAAGTAGCCTCTTCAAGAGCGAGTAATCTGCCACAAGATGGATATTGATGCTTTGAGGTTTAAATACTCTGACTTTCCATACACATGGCTAATGGAGACAAACATTAGTGTGTTTCTGCACTCTATTGCATTAAAGAAAAACAATCCCTTACTATTCTAATTTCAACTCTATTAATCAAGTTGTTATGCTAGAGAATGCCATTTAAATAGAATGAACACTTTAAGGCAAGGTTTAAAGAAATATAAGCAACAAAATATAATTAACTGTGCCAAATGTTAAAATTTTACATGAGAAAATATTTTTAAAAGAAAAAGAAGACAAGGAAAAAAAAGGGAAAAGAAAGTTAAAAATCCCACCCATTCACAGTAACCACTCCTAACATCTTAGTATATGTCCTGGAGCTGCCAGGCCCACCTCTTCCTCCTAACTTGTGTGGTTGTAGGCAGCCTGTATTCAAGAGTGTTCATGCTTTGGGTCATGTGGTTCTGCAACCCTGGCCATTGCACATGGAACCAGACATCTGTGACTGTCCTAAACGCAGCAATATGTAGATCAGACACCAGGAAGCTGGAAGTCTTTAAGATGATTTTGTGTGAGAACTTTGAGCAAAAAGGGTGTTCTGTACTGAATAGTGAAGGACTAAATGAGTGAGATCCTTCTTTTGGAGCTAGAACAGGACAAGAAGAGAGAGATAGATGTGGGTAGTAGAGAAGCACAGAGGTGAAGAAATACAAAGAGAGAAACGAGTGAGCAGAAGCCACGAGGTAGTAGGAACAGTGAGTAAGCAGAAACAATGAGTTAGAGGAAGGAACGGAGAGGTGGTGGCAGCGGTTGGCAGTGGCAGAAGTAAAGGAGAGACAGAAAGGAACCAGGTCCTGTGAATGATAGAAAGAATAAAGCAGAGATCTCTGAGGGGAGGATAAGGCAAGTTCTCACACGATTGTCACATCTAGTCCAGGTTTGCCAGATTAGGGCATAGAGCCACTGCCGTTTTCTGAACAGTGATGAGGTCTCTGTGGTTCCGTAAGGGCTAAATGAGCAGCGTTGTTTCCTTTTCATTCTTCTTGTGTTTCTTCTTGTATGTCATCTAATGTAAACTAAAACCACCTCCTTTCCAATCAGCCTGAAAAGCTGTTTGTATATGTACAGGTGCACATATTTTCCTTGTTAGTATTTTAAATATCTGTTTGTCCTGTTGGGTAATTTTTTTCCCTTACATATATCATAAATATCTTCCTATATTAATAGATATACTTCTATAATTTTTAATGATGGAGTCTATGCACACAGAAAACTTCCCCTTATGCCCTAATATACAGAGAAATTATACATAAAATAATAAAAGGATATTAAAACTGTATAGCTGTGCTTGAAAATAGAAAAGGGAATCATGGTGAACAGAAACCAAGGGAACCCAGAGCATTCAGGGATGGGATAGTAAGTAGCAGCAATGAGAGGCTGACATTTTGTAGTCCAGTGGGAGCTGCAAATACATACCATGTATCAAGAGAAGCCATTCCTAGAATTCTTTGTGAAGTCAGAAGCCAAGAACATGCTTCCATGCACACCATGGAAACTTGATTTATGATGGAGATGGCTTTACAAATTAGTAGAGGAAAGGATGCATTGTTGAATAAATAGTATAGGGAAAATTGGTTTTCAAAACTAAAAAAAAAAGTTTCATTTTGTTGATTTTTTTTTTGTAGTGACATGCTTTGATTTCTTTCTCATTTTCTTTTGTGTATTTCTATAGTTTTGCTGGATATAGCATTCTTAGTTGGCAGTTTTTTTCTTTTAGCACTTCAAATATATCATCTCATTCCCTTCTGGCCTGCAAGGTTTCTGCTAAGAAATTGGCTGATAGTCTCATGAGGTTCCCTTGTAAGTGGCTAGTTAGTTTTCTCTTGCTGCTTTCAAAATTTTCTTTTTGTCCTTGGCTTTTAAGAATTTGATTATGATGTTTTTTAGTTTGAACTTTTTTGGCTTCATTCTAGTTGGAGTTCTTTGGACTTTTTAAATCTGGATGTCCATTTCCTTCCCCCAATTTGGGAAATTTTCAGCCATTATTTCTTCAAATAAGCTTTCTGCCTCCTCCCCTCTCTCTTTTCCTTCTGGGACTCCCATAATGCATGTATTGATCCACTTGATGGTATTCCCCTAAGACCTTTAGGCTTTCTTCACTTTTTTTCATTCCTTTTTCTTTTTGCTCCTTTGACTGGTTAATTTCAAATGACCTGTCTTTGACTTCACTGATTCTTCTGCATGATCAAGTCTGTTTGTTCAATCCCTCTAGTGGATTTTTCAATTCAGTTGTTGTAGTCTTAAGCTCCAACGTTTCTGTTGGATTCTTTGTTATATTTTCTATCTCTGTTGATGTTCTCATTTTGTTCATGCATTGTTTTCCTGAGCTCATTGTGCATTTTATGACAGCTACTTTGAATTCTTTGTCAGGTAATTTTTGTGCCTCCATTTCTTTAGGGTTGGTTTCTAGATATTTATTTTGTTCCTTTGATTGGTCCATGTTTTCCTGTTTATTCATGTGCCTTATAACTTTGTGTTGGTATCCATGCATTCAAAAAAACAGGCAGTTCTCCTATTCTTTATGGATTTCTTTGTACAGGTAAAGACCTTCACCAATCAGCTCAGCTAATGATTCTGGGTGCCTCTCAAACCTTTTCTGTGGATGCTTCTCTGGATTTATGTCCAATTCCAATGAGTGAATTTCCGATTAGAGGAATTTGTGGGTTTCTTTTTTAAGGCGCTCATAATCTCTTGCTCCCTCTGGTGTCTGTTTGCAGTATTGCAGGTTCTCTGGAGCTGCCACAAGCTGCCCCGCTCTCTTTTGTTCTCAGCAGCCCTCAGGCTTCTAGAGCATACTGGATCTGTCAGTGCTCTGAGTCATATGAGACAGAAACCAGTCCCTCAGGCAGCTGAAAAGGCCAGAATGTTGGACACATCTCCACTCTTCTCTTTCCTCTCTCCACCCCAAGGGAGGGACCACTGAGCTGTAATTGTCTCTGTCTGCTGTACTAAGGGTCCTCTGGAGAAGCAGAAAGATGCCCAGATCTCTTTTGTTCTCAGCACCCCAAGCATCTAGAGAATGTCAGGTTCCATCAGTGCTCTGAAACAGGTGAGACAGAAACTAGTCCCTCAGGTAGCCCCTTAAGAAGCTGGAACACTGTATGGATGCTCCAACTCTTTCCCTCCCCAGGGAGCAGGTGGCAGTTGGGGGTTTTCTCTCACTTGCTCTGTGCTGAGCTGGGAGAGAGGCAATGGTGAGTGAGCGTGTGCTAGTCTAAACCTTCACCCTTGTTCTTGGTGGCCACCAACGTAGTGCCCTTTCCTTTCAGCACCTAGATTCAGACAAGAAAGAAACCGGTCCCTCAAGCATCCCTGAAAAGTCTGAACATTGGACTACGTTCCAGTCTTCTCTTTCCTTCCCCAGGGATAAGCCAGGATCTGGGAGTTTTCTCCTGATCACACCGTGCTGAGCTGTGGGGAGTGATTGTGGCAAGCAAGTGCCATGAATTTTCCTACTGGCTTTGTTGTGGCTGGTTTCACACTTGCCCAAGGTGCAGAAGCCACTTAAGTGTTTTCCGGATTTCTCACAGAGGGAATTGATCCACGTGTTGCTGTTGAATCAGTGTGTCTGTGGGTGAAGGAGGGTCTGGGGCTGCCTATTCCACCATTTTGCTCACCATGATACTGGCTCAACACAAGGTTGACATGAAGGAAACCATATTGTAGGAAAAAACCCTATTGTATCTTTGAATGACCTCTGATTAACTAACCCAGACATGCCCTGTGGCATTAACTAACCCATGGCCCCTCCCAGCTGCTATAAATTGATAACTTTTTTCTCTTGAGTTCCTTAAGAATGTGATGACCCCCAAGCAGAAAGTCTATGCTGATGGCCATCATCAATGACAACTGAAAGATCAGGGTGTAGTGCATTGCTCTGGTCTCTGATGCATATCCAGTAAAACAAAAGACTATCAGGAACTAAGAACAGATGGATGCCCCACCCTGAGACTAGATATCTGCCTCCACCCTGAGACCAGATGCCTCCCCCACCTGGAGACCTGTGCCCTATATAACTAGCCCGTAATCTTTGTTTTCTAAGATGGTCCTTTCAGACATTAGTCAGCCATCCTACCCCTTGCTAGCAGGCTGTAATAAACTGCTCTTTCTCTGCCACCATCTTGTCTCTTGACAATTGGCTTTTGTCTTGTGGCGAGCAGATCGTGCCCTTTGTGTGGTAACAATCACGTATGTATTTTTGAGTTTTCTAGTAAATACATTAAAAAAGTAGCTTAAAAAATATTGTAGCAGCCACTTGTAAAAAGAAACAAGTGAAATTAATTTTAATAATATATTTTATTTAACCCAATATGTCTTAAATAGTATCATTTCAGCATGTAATCAATAGAAAATTATTAATAAGATATTTTACATTCTTTATTTTGTACTAAGTTTTTGAAACCCACTGTCTATTTTACACTTCGAGCACATCTCAGTTTAGACTAATCACAGGTCAGTTGTTCAATAGCATATGTGGCTAGTAGCTACTGTATTGGACAGCATAGATCTATAACATAGAAATTACTCCTAATAAACAAAAAAGAAGACCATTCACAGGAGGGCCATTCACAGGAGAAAATCTGAATGACCATTAGCGTATGAAAAGATGTTTTACTTCATGGATAGAGAAATACAAATTAGAACAATAAGATACCATTTTTCATCTATTGGATTATCAAGGAATTTAAGAGAGAGAAAAAAATTATGGAACTTTTGCACGATTCTTTCTGTGACTGCTGTTTCAAACAGAAAGTAGCATTCTTTCCCCTTTCTGCCTGATGATGAGCTAATTTGCATTTACGTCTTCATTTGAAAGTAATGATACAATGGCCACATTAGTTTGTTCCTTGCAGATGAGCCTCTGATTTAATCATTCAATTAATCAAATTGAATCTAGCTTCTAAAAAACAAAAATATGGTTTAAATTTTTGTATATGAAATGCTATTTTAGCACAAATTCAAAGGTTTTAGTTTTTGATTATTTTAACAGGTTGACTTATATTTCTCTCCAAATCAATTTTTCTTCTCCAATAAATTTTCCACCACTTTTTAATTATAGCAAATCATCTGTAAGCAATTACCTACAGGAATTAGTCTTGGGAGGATTCTTTTTATAAGGAATCCCTTTAAATGCTATCATAATCTGTTTGAAAGTTCAGGTTTCTGCAGAGTGAGTAGTTTTAGACAGGGACTCACCCGCAATGGGTAAAATATTTCAGGCCACTAGCTTTAAGATTGTCCATACATCTGCCTGTGGTTTGTCTTAGTCAAGCAGAGCCATTGATGAGAACAAGAATTTTTTTCAGTGGTTGAATAAAGGGACTAGAGGAATTGCCCTTAAAATAAAGACAAAAAGGAAAAAGAAAGGAAATGTTTTATCCCCTGGATATTGTCATTCCAGAAGAGACCGGAACACAAAGACCTAGCTGAAGAATGGATGTCATTGAAACAAGAAATCTGGGGCAGATGATCTGGGGCACAAGGAATTGTGGGGATCCAATGCTTCTGAATGTCACTTAAAAAGACTCCATCAGGCACACACACCTTAAAATGATGTTTCTAATTGTTCTTCCTTTTCTTTTTTTCTTTCACAAATCACAAAGAAAAAGGAGAGAAAAA